CTACAGACATTGAGTGAGGAATTTGAAGCACAAGCAAAAACCCTGCAAAATAAATCTCCTTTCCTGAGAGAAAATAGGGACAGGGTCTCAACTTGAAACAGAAAGCTGGGGAGAGTTGTTTGCGTATTGTAGGATGAAGGTTAGAAAGCCAAGTGCGGAGTGTCATTCACGCCTCTGTGTTAAAACCGAGTCCTGTGAGGTGTGTTTGTGGACACACACTTGTGTGAGCAGTGTCAGCGTGCTCACCTGAGACTTTGAAGAACACTGTTAACATGTAGAGGGGAGGGAAATATGTGTATTGACTTACTTAGGCTTAGACTTAGACAACATGTACTGTCATTTTGTGAAAAATGAAATTTCATTGTGGGATTTTCGTCATTATTATCTATATGAATAGAAAATAAACCTCCCCAATGAATTTAAGTTAAGGTACTGTCTTTTAATGGTTAAAACTGTGTAAAATTCAGCACTAAACACTGCAATATTTGAAAAGAGTCCATATGTCTGAGTGAATGTATGAATTCCTGTAGATAAATAATAATAATAATAAACATATTGTTACATATGGATGAAGTACCTCAATTGCTGCAAATCTGAAATTAGCCACATTTCTATTTAAAAACAAATAGAAAGCGTTATGTAAAAAAAAAAAAAAGGCGAAGTTCATTCTGTGATCTACAGTAAATAAATCAGATGAAGACGGCAAAAACAATTCAGACAAGAAATCAAGAGAAAGGGAAACACCTCTATCCAACAAACTATGTGATCACATGGCTTCACCATTAGTAGACTTATTATATTTTTAGATAACTTCAAATAATCTAGCTTCTCAATAATCAGACATTCTGCATTGTTTTTGGATATTGTGTCATAACACAAGAGATTGGTTATAAACTTAAAGCACAAATCATGTCTCTAAATAATATAATTAACCCCTAAATACAGTGTGAAAACAACAACAACAAAAAAACAGTCGTTAGTTGGACATTACGGGTAGCACAATTACTATATCAGGCTAATATATGTTCATAAAATATCTTAAAAAATCCAAGTTGATTCTAATTTAAAGCTAAATTGTTTATAAACTTTTTTAGATCTCTCATTCTTTTTTTTTTTCCTGAAATCACAGCATTAAAACCGTCTTTAATGCCGAACAACCACTTTAAATGAAGGGAAATGCAAACTATCTTATACTGCCCCCTGGTGGAGATCTCTCATATCATCAGTCAGTAGAAACAAACGTTATCAGGCGAACTTAAACGCAACATACATACCATAAACGTAGGATATGTACGGTAAAATGTGAATCTGTCTGATTTAAATGTTGAACATATGTACCAGGTGGCTATAGTAGGCCTAGTTGTTTTTTTTATTTTATGTCTCCATGAGGTAAATAAAACATTACTGTGTGCCATTTAAGTTAGGCTATAAAAATCCTGTGAAATAGTGTGATTAT